CTGCTCTGTGGACCCTTGCCATGACTTGTGAGCTGTATGAATCCTGGATCTCAAATGTGCAGAGAATGGGAAACCCTTTCAGGTGGTAACTTATTTGAGAACTTGAAAAATAATACGAAAGAATTTCTAACCTCTAATCTGCAAACTGTTAATCTTTGGATGTTCGTGTAAAACACCGCCAGATGCACCAGCCTCTTTCTGAATGACAGAGTTTGCCTCTAATTTATTGGAAATGCGATAACTCTGAAGCATTCGCTGGTGCTGATGGCTTCACGGTCCATTAGGGGATGATAAATTTGAAGAGGTCCTGCTGGTGTTCGCAGAGAGAGCCAACTTTGATTTCTTTCCAGTCTCAGTCCATCGCTTCACTTCCTTCACTTCTTCATTTTTAGTATTAATCCTGGGATGGTTCAGCTGTACTGAAGTCTCTTTACTCACCTGTGCCAACAGTTGGAGAAGAGACTGTGATCCAGCTTTTGAATAAATCTGTTTTGAAGCCTCTCTTTGGCTACCACGCACACAGCATGTCTTCTCTAAATATTCAGTTTTTGCACAGTTTTGATGAAGTAAATCTGACTTTTTCTGTCTGTATTTGTATTTTGGTTCATGTGTTTCATGTGGCTTTTCTCACACATATACAGAGGCTTTGTTCTTATTGTATTGTATTATCATATATACACACTATATTGCCAGTAAGTACTCACTTGTCTGACTTCTCATGCGTATAAATTTGAGTGATGTCCCACTCTTGATCCATAGGTTTTAAGATTGTTATTCCAACCTTTGCAGCTATATTAGCTTCAAGTCTTCTGCGAAGGCTTTCCACAAAGTTTAGGAGAATGTTTATGGGAATTTCTGAACATTGTTCCAGAAGTACTTTGGTGAGGTGAGACACTGATATTGGTTGAGGTCTGGTGTGCAGTCTCCAGTCTAATTCATCCCAAAGTTCTTCTATCAGGTCAGGATCCTGCAGGCCAGTCAAGTTCTTCCACACCAAACTAACACATCCATGTCTCTGTTATTTACATTAAAAGATCTTCATTCTGTTCTTCTGTGTCTATGATATTAAACTGCAACACTTTTAAATAAGAGCTTGTTTCCATTTTATTCTTGAGTAGTATTGGCAGATATTCCTCTCAGGCTGTTTGCAAGTTTCACATCGTTGATCATACAGTAAGCCTGCATGTAGCCTGGCATGTGAAGCCCACAGCAGTAAAATAACTGCACCAGTAGAAGCTGATCTGCAGTTAGTAGTTACTCTAATGAGTGTATCAACATTTTTTACACTCAGTTTCTGTCATCGGCCCATGGAGAGAAAAGCGTTTAGCAAGAAAAGCTAAGACAGCAAAAAAAAGGACAAAAAGTACAAAAGTGTAATGTCTGGTTTTGTCCATCCACCAGTTTTACTAAACAAAAATACATGTATGTCCAACTTCTTCACTAAAAAGACCAAAAAATCTAATCTAAATGAAATTTGCAGCAGTAACATTTATAATATTTTTAATCTTGGCAAAATGGCAGCAGAAGGAAGATATCGTTCCAGCTTTGTCTGATGTTTCTCACCGATATTCAGCTTTGAAAATGGTAGTGATAGGTTTACCCCAGAATGTTTTTTAGATCCCTTTCTGATGAACTCGTATCTGCATGACAAAGAGGTCCAGCACTGTGGTCAATGTGTGTTTCTGCTTCATTTTACATTTCTGATGGGTGGAATCCTTTTTATTTCCTTTGACTGTGATAGTTTACTAAATATGTTTTTTAGGTGTTTTATTGTATTATTTACTTTTCGGTCTTTTACATTGTCCTATAAATTACTTTCAATTGAAAGTTTGTAAAAAAAAGATGATGTACAAAAGTATTAATAAAATACGTTAATGATGACGGTTCAGCATGTTAAGCAGACGTCTTTCATTCGTTCTTAGGTGTTTTATGTTTGGTTTCATTGTCTTAATGGACTTTCTCTTTGTTACTGTTGTCCGTACTGCTTTTCTTTATCCTTTCTGTGCTCGTCTGTATTCCAGTAAAAAAACAATTTGTGTGGGTTTTTTTCTACTTTTAGTGAATATATTTAGCTTTGAGTTTCTGTTGCAGTATTTAGAATTTGAATTTCTGCTTTGTATTCCTGTTATTATGACCTTGTTTTGTTATTGTTTATTTAATGTTTAGCTGGAGATTTGGTTAGTTCATTGTGTTTAGTATATGTAGCTTTGCTGTGAACCTCCTCCCACTGCCTCGCTTCTTTTGTGTTTCCTTGTTTGTCATGCATTTATATCGAGGCCCATCTTAAGTCCTTTGCTTGTTTCCTGTTTTACTTTGTGTTTTGTTTTCTGCATGTCCTGTTTCAGGTTTACTTCCCATCTTCCCTTGATTCCCTGAGTGTGTTAACCTGCTCTTTACTGAGTTCAGTCGCGTCTACTTTCTGCATTCAGTCCCCTATCAGTATGTGTTTGTATAAACATTCCTGTCATCTCTTTGTTCAGTGGCTGTGTAGTCCCCGTGTTCCTGGTTTCATGCTTGGATTTTAAGATTTCCAGGCTTTTAAATACTCATCTTTGTGTGGATTCAAAGATTTTGGACTGAGTTTTTTTTTTCTTTTTTTCAGACAATGAGGAATAAACACTGACTTTATGATTATGTGTCTCTGTATCCTGCACTTGGCTCCTCAAAAACACAGAGGTTTGCAATATACTGAATGTTATTGAATAAAAGCATAAAAAATGATTTCTTACTTTCTACTCACATTAATTCCAGGAAGATAAACTTAGCAGTTGTATGTATTTTCGGTACCTCATCAATGATCTGTCTAGGTTTTCAATCATCCAGCTCATGGAGGTCTTGCATACATAAAGAGAAGGCAACTGGACTTCTTTAGGTTCTAAGGAAGTCCAGTTGCCTTCTGATTAGGAAATCCAGAATTTGTGTGCAGATTAATATTGAGTTTAGATTAATTATTTTATGCAGCCTGCCTGCCACTGAGAGACAAGAAGCTGTTTAAAGTTTTAAATCTCACTGCGGTTTGTTCCTAAAGACCCAAGAGAAGTCATTCCTGAGTGTGTGCAAAAATGTTTTAAGAATGTGGACTGAGTCACACCATCGTCTGAGAGCACGTAGACCATCCCCACGCACAAAATTGTAAAATCCAGTGGGTCTGTCC